CACACACACACACACACACACACACACACACACATAAACACACTCACACAGCTAATGAAAATACAATTTCAGGCTGGGTGTGGTGGCTCACTCCTGTAATCCCAGCACTTTGGGAGGCTGAGGCAGGCGGATCACTTGAGGTCAGGAGTTCAAGACCAGCCCGGCCAACATGGAGAAACCATGTCTCTACTAAAACTACAAAAATTTGGCCAGGCTCAGTGGCTCATGCCTGTAATCCCAGCATTTTGGGAGGCCAAGGCGGGTGAATCACCTGAGGTCAGGAGTTCAAAACCAGCCTGGCCAACATGGTGAAACCCCGTCTCTACTAAAAATACAAAAATTAGCTGGGCACGGTGGTAGGCACCTGTAATCCCAGCTGCACAGCAGGCTGAGGCAGGAAAATGGCTTCAACCTGGGAGGCGGAGTTTGCAGTGAGCCGAGATCATGCCATTGCACTCTAGCCTAGGCAACAAAGCAAGACTCCATCTCAAAAAAATATATACGATTTCATTATTTGTGTTTTCTTTTCACCCTATCATTGACCTAGATCCACTCTATCAGAAGTAAGTGGTATACATATGAGAGAGAAAGAATCAGAGGCAATGGGGAGAAAGGGAACAATAAAAAGTGCAGGAAATATCTGCCAGAACACAGTTGGAGAAGCTAGGGATGGTATTTTTTCATTGAATGAGATCTTTCTGATTCTTTTCAGGTATCCAAGAAAGTTCTTCCCCAAGCTCAGTGAGTATTTGATTCATGAGAATATTCCCACCAAGCCTTTGAGAAAATTTCCCTTCCTGCTCCAGTTCATGAGAGAACCATAGGGAGATGGGTTCGTTTTGATAACTCCAGAAGTCAGCTGGATCAATTTGTTCTGGGCCCAAGACTGAGCCAGCCTGTTGTGGAAGGGGAAAGAAAGCACAGTTCATCCATCAGCATTTTGCTTAGGATCTATACCTTTGAGTTGTTTGGTAGCATAAGCAGGGAGGAGATGTGAACCAGGCAGCTAGCCAAACAAGTTATATCCAGTGCCCCACAGGCTAGAAGCTGTATTGGCTGCTTCAGCAATATTAGGCCCTTTCAATTCTGGGGTTAAAGGAAGCCCTGGTGAGTATCTCCAAATGTGCATTCTCTTCATTTATTCACTATTTCTTGAACGCCTAACCATGTGCCAGTCATTATGCTAGGCACTGAGGATACAGTGGAAGACAGGACGGCCACATCTGTGTCACATATAGCTTACATTTGTACTGACCTCTTTGCTCTTCCTCCCAGCTCTCCATCAAGAAATGCCCCATCTGCAAAGCAGATGATATTTGTGATCACACCTTGGAGCAACAGCAGATGCACGCCCTTTGTCTGAATTGTCCAATTTGTGGCAAGACCTTCCCGGCAAGAGAGAAGCAGATCTTTGAAGACCACGTGTTCTGCCACTCTCTATGAGCATCCCAGCCTCTTGGATATATACAGAGATTTTATAGAGTAGAACCTATAGCTTCTACCATGAGTTATATGAGTCAAGGTCCTGCCTAACCTGAAATTACTAGAGATTTACTCAGCCCTGCTGCCACTAACAGTGGAGTCATGTCACTTATCTGAAGGACACTGTTAAGAGCTTCTAGTGCCATCCTGTGGGTTACTACCTTTAAGTCACATAACTTTAGCTGTATCATCCTCTCACCTATCATTCTTCCAGGGGTCTTCAGTACAAGGTTCCTGAGATGGAGCCAACCTAGGTATTCACAACAGGCCTGACTTGACACTAAATCATTAGTTTTCCAAGTTGTCCCACTGCCATTCAGGGCAGGCATTGAGTGTATTTGTTCTCAGTCCTAACCCTGGAGCCAGCGATTGGTCCGAGGTTGAGAATTCCTTTCTCCTCCTCCTCCTCAGTGTTGCTTTCTCCAACTGATTGCTTTAGACTAGCCAAAAATGGCACAGCAAAGAGCTCAGAAGTCCAATTTGGATACCAAAGCTTTCTCATGTAAATTTCTCAGCCCCAAAAGAAGCATCTTATTCCTGAACCTTAGACAGGAATTGTTTCAGTCACAGAAAGCTTTTCTGGGTACCTCTGGTTAACATTTTCTACTCTCTGATCTTTCCTATGTACATAACTTTTATTGTTATAAATTTTTTCTTAATGGTTAAATAGGGATTGTGAGAAACTATGGGTTTGCAGTTTTCTGAGCAGGTGAGTTTTGAATATGGATAAGTCAGAATAATGAGACAACTATTGTTAATCACTTTAATACTAAAAATAAATTACTCTTCTGTTTCAGGGACTTAGGTAACTTAAACCTTCAGTTTATGGCCTTTTATTTTGAAGCTTATGGAAAAATTGTGATCAAAAGGACTGTGGGAAGGGCAGACACCACCAGTGATTTCTCTTCACCTGTCTTAAATATTAAACAAAAAAGAGTGTCCTGGCAGTTACCTTAAGGTGGGGAAGGAGGTGATAAAACATCAGTTTGTGAAATCCGGGGCCCTGGCTTTTTTTTGAGAGAGTCTCGCTCTGTTACCCAGGCTGGAATGCAGTGGCGCAATCTTGGTTCACTGCAGCCTCCGCCTCCCAGTTCAAGTGATTCTTGTGCCTTAGCCTCCTGAGTAGCTGGGATTACAGGTGTGCGCCACCTTACCCAGCTAATTTTTATATTTTTAATAGAGATGGGGTTTCACTGTGTTGGCCAGGCTGGTCTCAAACTCAGCCTCATATCATTCGTCCGCTTCAGTCTTCCAAAGTGCTGGGATTACAAGCGTGAGCCACCATGCCCAGCCTGAGGCCCTGACTTCTTGCTATAGCTTTCTATGCATTTTTTTAATTTTTTTTTTTTTTTTTGAGATGGGGTCTTACTATGTTGCCCAGGATGGAGTGCAGTGGCTATTCACAGACGCAATCCCACTACTGATCAGCACGGGAGCTTTGACCTGCTCCATTTCCAACCTGGGCTAGTTCACCCCTCCTTAGGCAATCTGGTGGTCCCCTACTCCCAGGAGGTCACCATATTGATGCCGAACTTAGTGTGGACACCCGCTTGGCATAGCTCACTACAGCCCAGAACTCCTGGGCTCAAGTGATCCTCCCACCTCAGCCTCCCAAGTAGCTGGAACTACAGACATGCGCCACCAAGCCTGGCCCATGCATTTTTTTTTTTAAAAGGAGCAATGTAGATTTTGGCACCCTTTGTGAACTAAGTTGAATGCCCTTTGTCCAAATTTGCCTAATTTATAAGAAAGCAATAATTCCATTTTCTCTCCCCTCGGGGACTGAACAAATGGAAATGACTCCTAGGCAATACAACTGGTCACTATAGAGACTTTTTTTTTTTTTTAAGATGGGGTTTCACCATATTGGCCAGGCTGGTCTTGAACTCCTGACCTCAGGTAATCCACCCACCTTGGCCTCCCAAAGTGCTAGGATTACAGGCATGAGCCACTGCACCCAGCTTCACTATAGAGACTTCTACAAAAGCTTCTGAATGATGTGAAACACGATGTCATGAATAAGGGTTGAACCAACTATAGCTTGTGTTCCTACTGGGCTTTCCCTAATGTGGTTGGGAGTTATGCCCTAGACTATATATTGTCATAGTCACAGCTCCTTGCTTTGATTTCATCCTTGATAAAATGAAGATGAAACTTATACTACTTCTCCAAGCCTTTTGCCACCTTAAGAATGACATGTGACATTAACACTAACCCTAGAATAGAAATATAATAGGGAGATGGCAATAAAAGAGTTTTTCTGGCATATACCCTCCCTGCAGAATTTCTGTTGCTCCCCAGATAGTTCCAGTGAAGAATTGCAGTTTCATTTATTTTGTACGAGTCAGCTTTTAATTAAACACATGAATGGAGAGGAGCAGTGGTGCACATAATCCAAATCAGTGAATACCATTTTCTGGTGAATTACCCACCCCTTTGCCCCTGCTACCCGGAGGGTTACCATGATTATCAATAGCAGCAGGAGCCCTTCCACGGGGCTTGGTTAAAAAAAAAAAAAAACAGTTTAGGTGTTAATGACCCTTTTTGCCGGGTGTAAAACAAAGCATCTTTAACCACTGTTCATTATCCCCAGCTGCTCTTACCAAGGCTTTGAAGGGGGAAATTATGCTCCAGGCAGCCCCTAGTAGTAAACAATAGTTCTTGTATAACCCACTGCCCATCCTGGCCTTCCTTCATCCCCCTTGCACCCACACATTATAAAGCTGTAAAATACCTGCAAAAAATAGGAAGTTATGGGAGCAAATAGTATATATCTGAGTTGGATTTTTGAATCTTTGTACTCATTATGGCAACAGGTTTTCCTTCCTAATTTGTTTTCTCTTGGTCTAATATTAAAATGTTTTCGCATTACCTTAGCATGCTTACTGGATGGGCAGTAAAGGGAGAAAAAAGTCATCCTGGCACACATGAGTGTGAAAGAAGCTAACTTAAAAGGAGGCCAGGCATGGTGGCTCATGCCTGTAATCCCAGCATTTGGGAGGCTGAAGTGGGTGGATCACTAGGCCAAGAGTTCAAGACCAGCCTGGCCAAGATGGTTAAACCCCGTCTCTGCTAAAAATACAAAAAATGAGCCAGTGTGGTGGTGGGCCCCTGAATTCCCAGCTACTCAGGAAGCCAAGGCAGAGAATTGCTTGAACCCAGCATGCGGAGGCTGCAGTGAGCAGAGATCGTGGCACTGCACTCCAGCCTGGGCAACAATGAGACTCCCTCTCAAAAAA